ATGTTTTATATGATTTTATTAATAACCGTGGCTTGTTTTCAACAATATTATAAATTAGTTGTATTTTTATTTTTAACTCTTTTATTCAATTGATATACTGTTCAATCTTTGCAATATAATAAATTTTTAATGACACGTTAAAAAATATCGAAATAATTTGCTACTTTTCAAAATTGAACAATAAAAAAGTATAATCAAAATATAGCTGAGTTTTCTATTTTTTCTTTATCAGAAGAAGTAAAGATTGAAAACATTAAACAAATTAAAAATTAAAAGTTTTCCTTTCCCTATTACTTCCTATAATATTTTTATAGAATTAATTTTTTTCTAATTTTCTTATCACGAGTTTATTTGTCCTACAGAAAGTAAATAATTCAAATTCATTTAATACAAAATTTAAAGGTAATTAGAAAACATTTATAATTTCAAAGCATAATATTTAGATTTAATGAGATTGAAAAGCCCAAAAGAGCTCCAGAAATGATAGCAATAGATATATTACAAAAAATATTGTACTATTTTTTTATATATAAAACCAAGATTAAAGTATTTATATCTTACTGTTTTGCTTTAAAAATCTAACGTGCTGAATTATGTTCTACTACAAAAGTACTCGTAAATAAATATTTCTTCAAGGTATAGGAAATTTCTACTAGAAGAAAGTCAAGATACAAATTAAAAATTATTCACAGTTTAAATTTAATACGAAAGACAATAACTATCTGCAGAAATGTAGCATTTACCATTCTCAAATAATATTGACTTGAAAAGTTTAAAAACATTTCTAGCAGTAAACATAATCTTATATTCTAATCTTTCTAAAGACAGGCAACTTTAATGATTATAAATAATTACACAATGTAATGAAATCAATAACAAAAAATAGCGTAATGTCATACTGTAAAAATTTTATATCAAATTTCATGAGAACTCATTGAACAATCTAAGTAAAAAGTATATGAAATAATGCATGCATTAAATTCAAAGTCTAATTGAAAGTTCTGTAAATGAATAAGAAAGTAACATTTGGAATACATTAACTGAAATTAATTTAAACAACATTATTATTGTTTGATTATTGAACAATAAAAATGCACTTGTGTTTGTTGGGATTTTTTTGACCTGGTATATACACATAGTATATACAGTTATAAATAATGAGTCGATGGTGATAGACTATACAATACAATGAGACTATATAAGGAGTCGATGGTGATAGACTATACAATACAATGAGACTATACAATGAGTCGATGGTGATAGACTATACAATACAATGACTATACAATGAGTCGATGGTGATAGACGTTCCTATTATATTTCAATACTCGCCCAGTATCATTCGTTTCATGGAAAGAATCTTTATTTAGATTTTCTACCATGCTTATATTTTTTTCCCAATTGTGATATAAATTTTAGACTTTGATGCCACATAATTAAAAACTTAAAAAACGTTGTATTGCTCTATTATACCATTTCACTTACAAAACTCAACAAATTAAAACAGCAATTGAGAAATGTTTTTGACTTAATAAATTAATTTTGCGAATAAAAATTGGGAACAATTTTAAAATACAAATTTTTTTTTGATAGTATTAAATTGAGATCTTTCATACAAATTGTTTAACATTGCTAATAACACTAAGAAATTTCTTTAGATCATTTGCATACAATAACTTCAGTTAGTTACATGGATAACAGAAATAGAAAAAAAATAATTGCTGTCTCAGCAAGTTGCGTCAAAAATAAAGGAAATTCTTGATTCTTGGGAAAAAACAGAATAATTTTATAGATAAGAGAAGGATGTAAAAGAGAATAGAATAACATATTTAGAACTATACAAATAGTTACGGTTGAATGATTGGGAAAAATCATTATTTCAATCGATAAGTGAACTTTCAATCAATAAAATTTTTATAAAGCGAAATCGTACAAACACTATAATCACAATACGTATATAATTCATTTTAATATCGTACAGAAATAACTCAAATAGTGGATTAATACATTTTAAATGATTATTAAAATTAAATAGCGAGCATAGAAACACTTGAGTTTTTATAAGAAATATTTAAATAATAATGTTTTATGTAGCTGCATATTGTTGATGGCATATATGTCCAATAGGTTTTATAAATCAAAATTTAAAATACTATTTAAAATTAAGTTTTTTCATTACTGAGTAATATTTTTCAACAACTACCTATGTATTCAACTTGAAGTTTGGCATATCTTGATAAAAAATGTATAGCACTTTATTATAAACATAATTTGTAAATCAATAATATTATTATAAAATATCTTGAATTTTATATATAATTTTATATATAAGTAATTAAGCTATAATTATTTTTAAATTATAATAGTACAAATTAAGCTTTAATTTAAAGTTTCTTATATCTGTTTTGTGGATAATAGAATCTGTTACGAATATGAAAGATGAATTTTAAACGAGCTTCTGTGTTTAAAAATATATTAAGTCAGCAAAAACATTTGAATGTTACAAATATTAAGGAAAGGCAAATCCATTGAAATAAAATATTTATGTATTATTTATGTGTTTGTACTTTTTAACTTAAATTTTTATAAATTAATTTAATTCAAATTATACCACACACGCACACACACACAACACAACACACACACACACACACACACACATACACACACACACACACAACACAACACATATACACAACACATACACACAACACATACACACAACACATACACACACAACACATTCGTACTTCTGTGTTTAAAAATATATTAAGTTAGCAAAAGCATTTGAATGTTGCAAATAGTAAGCAAAGGCAAATCCATTGAAATAAAATTTTTATGTGTTTGTATTTTTTAACGTAAATTTTTATAAATTAGTTTATTTCAAATTATAGCACACACGCTCATACACACAACATACACACACACACACATACACACAACATATACACACACACACATACACACAACATATACACACACACATAACACATAAACACAACATATACACACACATAACACATAAACACAACATATATATATATACACACACAACACATATATACACACACAGCACATACACACAACATATATATATACACACAACACACACATACACTCACACACATACACACACACACAACACATACACACCACACACACACACACACACACACACACACACACACACACACACTATCATGTGGGCGTGGTTGCAGCTTCTATGCAAATAACAGCGTCGCAAATGCGGGTATATAAGCACCAATGCATGGGATTATCGTGGCATTCGTTTATTTACCAAAGTGAGTGTTGGAAGGCACAATGGCTTCAATTTCAAACATTAACAAAAGTTTCCAAACAGGTCCAATGTGGTGTTATTCTTTTTTTCGCTGCCGAATGACAATAAACGGTAGGCGTTCATCGGATAATGAAGAATGTGTATACAGAAGCATGTCTGACGAAAACCATCGTAATGGAATGGTGCTTAAAGTTCAATGTCGTATTTCAATGTTGAAGGCAATACATTCCTTGAGCGCATTGTTGCGAAATGAGGTGATTCTGCTTCATGATTTTGGTATCTACAATATTTTATAAACTTCTTGTACACACTGAAAACAGCAAATAATATATTCTTCACTGTATTGCCATGTTTCAAATGATCGTGATCAGAATCTTAAATATAGTTATTAACAGTTTTCAGGAAAGTTTTGCAAAATGCAATAAATTCTTCTTGACATAAAGTTGTTTTATAATTGATTTTTCTTATTTACCTTCTCCATACGTCTGTTTCTGTAATCTTTTTTTTGTATCTGATCATTGAAACATAATTTTACTTGTTTGTAAAAATCATCAGAAATTATAATATTTCAGACATTTAGGCGCATATTATTTAATTAAATGTCATTGTGCAATAATGGGGATGAATGAAGTCTTGATAAAAAAGATAAATTTTTCTGTCATATTTTCACTCAATGGAATTAAAAAAAAATCAGATATTTTATTACGATGTATTTGTATTTTAATCATATCATTTTAGGGTGATGATAGGACTATTTTGGAGTCTAAAAGGAAAAAATAAATAAATAATGTCATTATTTTTTTAAAGATTTCAAAATTTTATTTTGATACGAGGATAATTTAATAAAATGTTATATTAATGATATTTTTGAAAATGTTTGCTTTGTTAATAATTGTGTTCATAAATTTTATATTGCACATTTATTCATCAGAAAAATATAACCTTTTTAAAATGGAACGCAACCATATAAACAGTTTTTCTTCAAAATATTTTAATTTTTAAGATAGGGAAAAAAATCTATTTATCAGTAAAGTCATGTTTTTAGATAATTTCATAGTGAAATTCGAAATAATTTGCATAAATAACAATACAATGTATGGAAACTAAAATTGAATTTTATTAAATTAAAGTGCGAAAACATGTGCTTAATCATTGTGTGAAATATATTCGCTTCCAATTGAATATGGGTGAATTTTCGTACTTTGGTGTTTTATTTTATTTCTATAGGTATAATCAATACATATTTGGTTTTTAAATATTTGCATTTGAAATTATCGAATTTTATGATTTCATAATTTTGTTATTTATTTAAATAGTTTAACTTGTACTTTATATGCTTTGTTAAGTATATGAAATCTTTGGTAAGTATATTCTAGTCATGGAAAAATAACTTTTTACCATATTTATGTTGTTGTTTGTTGTTTCTTATCCCACTTGGTTGGCCAAGCCCACGAGCCCATTCGTACTAATGATTGAAGGGGAAGGAAGCAGCTTCTGTTGTGATGGAGCACCCGTAGGTAGAAGCCTGACTTTTGCTCCGTGACGCTTTTACAGTCATATGAGACCGGGACCTACCGCTTAAAGTGGATTCCAAACCACTACAAACATCCATGGCACCGCCGGGACTCGAACCCGAAACCTGTGGCACCGAGCGCCAGAGCGCTACACACTCGGCCATTCAGGTCCCAAATTTGTGAATGCCAACGGCACGCGGTGTTCCCAGGTGGTCACCCACCCAAGTACTGACCGCGCCCAATGTCGCTTGACTTCGGTGATCTAACGAGAACCGGTATATTCAGCATGGTAGGACCGTTGGCTCATATTTATGTACATAATGTAAATGCACATGTGGATCCTAATACAGCAGCAAGAACTACAAAAAATAGATAAGAGGCCCAAGTAGAAAAAGTGTGCCTGATAATGATACACTGTCCAGCATAAAATATGAAGACTCTAATTATGAAATTTTCGGGTAATGGAAATATTGCAGCTGAACATATTTTGCAGATGATATTAAATACTAGTTGGTTTACGTGATTATATGTGGGATGGAATGGAAGAAAACAACGTATGAACCAATAATCGATACATTCTGTCGAATACGGAAACCAAAATTTTGAGATGTTCTACGTTGAAGACTAAGATATATCTGTCTCATTACACTTCTGTACCACATTATAAAACTTCCTAAAGAAGATTTTAAGGAACACAATTCGATTAGAATACGAGTATTTGTATAAAGAAATGGTCTTCAATTTTTCCATAACTGTAGAAACAATCTAAGATGTTAAATAATTTGATGTATGTTCTGAAAAGAATGTAGCATGTACGGAAAGTGTAGATGTAATTTCTTATCTAGAAAAAAATTTGCATTAAAAAAATTAGTCTTGCTTTGATATGGTCTTGTTTTCAGTAAATGTCTGTTATTACAGACATTTACTAAAATTTTATTGGAACATGAATTAATATATTGAATAAAAGTTTCGAGATCATCAGCAATTACAGTAGTAGTTACTTAGTTAGAATACATATGCGCCCATTGCTATAAATATTGCTAATTATTTGCATATTTTTTTTAGTCAAAAAAGTTCAATCATACAATCATATTTTAAAAACTTATGTTGAATATTATTAAATGAGCAGTTTTAGGAAGAAGATGTCAAATAAACATTCTTGACCGTATTTCTAAATTATTATACTAGGTAGACTTTTCAAAAGCTGTAAGTCTTTTTTAATACCAATAAGTCTAGCTTGGAAGGTAGAACTGTATCTGCATGACCACTTAGTTTGTGAATTAGTTTATCTTTTTGTAAAAGAAAATTTATAAGCAGATTCTGTTTTTGAATGATCTCAGAAAAGATTAATTAGAAATTCTAATTAGAGTTGTTTTGGTTATGAATTTGAAAATGTGTATAAAAAAACTACTGAGTTTAGAAAAATTGCTCGAAATTTTATGTTTTTTTTTTTTTTTCATTGTTTTTAGGATAAAAATGGGCATCATAAAGTCACGAATGGATTGATTTTATACCGCTATTTATTTGTTTAAGAATATTTTTTTAATTTATTAATAGGTATAGCGATGATATTAACAGCTCACAGAATTGATGTTGGACTTGTGTAATATGATACGGTTTTATAAAGTTAAAAGCATCTTAAAATTTAAATGATTATTATTTTTAGTCTGATTACAGAATTGATTGTTACATTGCTGCACCTGTAGTACCATTTTGTATACAGTATTTTATATAATTTTAATTAATTCTTTATTTGCTGTTGACAATTCTATAAAAGCAATTCAGCATTTTTAATGTTTGGTTGATTTTTTTTTAAAACCACTTTTTCATCTAGTGTGATGCTTAAATGTTTCAAGGTTTTTCTTCTGCGTTTTTGGTTTGATGAAGATAATTAGATCTGTTTTACTAAATTCTTCAAGGTTATATACAAATAAAAATTATTTTTTTGTATGATAATATAAAGAAAACTGGCTCAATGTTAATATCATTAAACAATTTCTCCATTTTGATTCAAAACATTTTAATGAATAACAATTCGTAAACTCACAGTAAATTGCCAATTTAAAATTTTGTTTCTTAATATCATTTTTAAAAATTTTAAATGATTTATAATGTTCTTTAATTATGTAGACAGGTCAGACAAAATAAATTAACTTTTGATTCTGAATATATTTTTTTGTTTGAATTTAATTTAGAAAAAAATATTTTACGAAAATTCAGCTACAACATTATTTTTTCCTCAAGATTTTATCAATGTTATTCGAAATTTTTAGCAACAGTTTTTGTGTCCACACTTAAGAGATTTATTTTATACAAGTGAATTACAGTAATTTATTTTATCATTCATCATAATGTTATAACCGTCAATTGATATTATATGCATTAAGAGATATAAGATACATTTAGGAAGAAAGATGATATTAATGTATTTAAATGAAATTTTTAAAGTTATCCTTAATTATCAAATGTTAAATAATAAACATTTGAAAAAATGGATATAAACTGCATAAATATTTTCTAAAAATATTAATTATATTTCATAATTTTTAGAAAAAACCTTTTGTGCATTTGATTCACAATTATTTTATATAAGATGAGTTTAAACGCGACTAATTTTATTTCAGATTTTTTCATTTGAAAAAGCATGTGTTATATCAAAACTTACTTTAAATCTAAAGCATATGCACTACTGTGCCCCAAAAGTAAGACCAATTATTTTTTTTTCAAAAACTCTTTATTTATTTTTCCAAATTTATTTCATGGAATTCAAAATAATCCGTTCCGGACACAATGCACTTATGTCAACGTTTTTTCCAATCCTCAATGCATGCTAAAAAGTCATCGGCAGGGATGGCCTTCAAAGCGCGCGGCGATTTTGGCGCACCGTCTTAGAGTCAATTGGATCTCTTCAATCGACTCAAAATGGCGATCCCGGAGTGGCCTTTTGAGTTTAGGGAATAACTAGAAGTCACACGGTGTGAATACAGTGGTTGTGGAACGATATGGGTTTAATTTAACACGAAGAATCAATGCAGTGTGAGCTAGCGCATTCAGTGTTTACGGTACCAATCGAGATTTGACGCGTTTGAGGCCCAAAATGGAATTGACCGATCCTTTTGAAATTCTAACATCATCAGCAAGGTCTCTAATAGTAAATCGACGTTTTGCAAGCACCAAATCTTTAATTTTTTGGAGTGAGCTTCGTCGGTTGAGGTTGATGGTCGACCAGAGGGCTCTTCGTCTTCAACGTGTTCTCTGCATTCTGTTCAAACATTTCTTTCTGATATAGGAATGTTCACCGAATGCCGTCTGCACTATTCTATACGTTTTCGCAAACAAAATTTAATATATGTTCTTTGCTCAATTAATTTACATATTTCAAAAACAGCCGGAATCACTTTTAGCGTCTCACAAAGCCAAGCGTAACTTAAATACTAATTTATATTTTGACGTGAAATTTCACACAGATGTCAAGGACAGTGCCCCAGGAACCTAAAAAAGAAAAAGAAAATTGAAATTCCGTACGCCCCGGGAATTTTGAATTGAAAATTGCTCTTCTTTTTGGACACAGTAGTATGTGTTACTTGTTCTTTTTTTTTTTTTTTTTTTTTTTTTGCAGTTGCTATAAATATTTATATTGAAACAGGATAAAAAAATTTTAAGAAAATAAAGCTGTAATTTGAATTATTGTAAAAATTGTAGGTAAATAATATTTCTTAATCTGAAATTTACTAACAAAATTTATTGTATTATCCTCATTATCCTATTGTATTATCCTATTATTACAGCCTTTATGAGGCTGTAATTTTTCTTTAAAGTTTGTCTTTTAACTAATTATTTTTTAGTGAAATAAAAAAACCTACAGCTTTATAATTATTTTAAAATACTTTCAAATTTAAAAATTGTTTAGACACTTTTTAAATCGGGTAATTATAATCAACCGTTTTAATTCTCATTTGTCTTCTAGAAATTGAAAAAACAGATTAACTGCTAATAGTTACACAGTTATTATATTTGTATAGAATTTTCTTTTTCTGTTTCAAATATCTTGCACTTTTTATACGACATTTTATATAAATTATTTTAAGTATGTATCCAACAATTTACTAACTGTAATTTTTTTAACAATTGGTGCAAATTTCTTTATTTGCTTTTTTATTACATTTATATGCAATTGTTTTTTTCATCATGTTGAATATTTTAAATAGTTATAAATTTAGTTACTAAATTTTTTATATTTAACATGTCTTATTCCTTTCAAATTTTAAATTAAGTAACTTTCGAAAGGCATTGAAGTTAATGTGGACATTATTTTATTAATTTTTAGATTTTAGCTAAATGACAATTAGGATTTAAAGAAATTCATATTTGTTCATAATCGTTTTAATAAACCCAAATATCTTGGAAAACTTATAATTATCCTGAATTTTGTGAAAATCCTGAAAACTAAATATGGATGCGATTTCTGAATGCATTTTTAGTTGATCAAAGATCAATTTTGTTTCATGATGAGATGCCTTCCTAGGCTTTACATAGAAATAAAAAAAAATACTTTACATTTACCAGTTAATGTTTTAAATATTTTTGAGGCATATACATCGTTTTTAATACGCTCGTATTAGTTTCTCCTGTATGTTTGTTTGTTTGCAACAAACTTTTTGGGCTCGATTTTGCCCTACTCTTAAGCGATCAGATTTAATTTAAACGTTGTAGACTTATCAAGGACCGACGACAATAAAATATTTTGATAAATTTATTATCTAATCATGATTAGGATCGCCAGGATTGGGGATTTTATTTTAACATAGGAAGAGCAATTTAACCCATGTAGAATGAAAGTACCTAAGACATACAAACGTACGTGGGACAGCTGCAAACCGGATAACGGGTCAGGAGATTCCCTGTTCGAATCCTGGCTGGCTCGACATATTAGCATTTAGCCTTTGTTTTACTCACAATTAAATTATTGTAAAAACAATTGTTCCAGTCCTCCGTACCAGGACCTCATTTAAGTATTATAGTTTAAAAAAAATAAAAAACACGCTTTTAGAGTTAATCAAACTAAAAAGTAAAAAATAAATTATTGTTTAAAAACACGCTTTTACAGTTAAAACTAAAATATTAATTATAGTTTAAAAGAAACTAAAAAACACGCTTTTAGAGTTAATCAAAGCGTGGGGTGCTCGATGTCAATCTTTATAATTTTTCACTAGTTTCATTCCGAAATGCAGAGTTAGTTTAAAAATGTCTTACAAAGCACCCCACGCTTTTAGAACAGTGACATTCATTTTCTCGTCAGT